GGGGGGGGGGGGAGCACTTCCCCCCGGAGATATAGCTGAAAGAAACCCTGAATTGGAAAGCTATATTTCTCAAAAATTAGATATATATTTATCTTCCTCTCGCGTACGAAAGTTATACGAACACTTCATTCGGTGGTACATCATTATAAAACTAAAAACGGTGTTTTTTCTGACCTAATCATAGGGTCACCTCATTTGTAACGCATCATCCTTGAGTTCTAAATAAAGCACGTATTTGGACTGGTTATAAAGTTATATGGCATAATATGCGTGAAAAATTTAAATGTGATCAGTTCCCCTTTATGAAATGCGATTAGACGAGCAGCATGTGTTCTGTAAATATGCATTTTTTGCATTTGGTGTCACCCTATGGGATGGTGTCACCCGGTGCGGTCCGCAACCACTTGCTACGCCATTGCCTATACTAAAGCCTTTATAGTTTAAATTTAATTTATACCACATCTCTACATTCCTACACTTACACAATCTCAGTCAGACAATAAATCAATATTTTATGTTCATTTAGTTTGATTAACAGTACCGTGTAAGAAGCTATTATTGACTTTTATGAATTAAAAGTCCTCTTGTTTGAGAATAGAGGTTAATTTTATTAATTGATGAACATATATTATAATTATAAATAGTATTATATTATAAATTATAAATAGTGTAATGATTTTAAAATGAAATAATTGAACTGTCAATTTTCTATGGTCGACACTTTTTGACTTTTGCTTACAATGCCGGTTCCGGTTAATATTTTAAAATAATAAAAAAATCAGGTTCAGCTTTAGTACTTTACTAACCTGGTAAACAAAGGAACTCTACGTATTATATTTCCACTGTGATAAAAGACATGAGGTGAGTCATGCGTTTAAGAATGACTATATTTTATTTAAAATTATTAAAATGATTATATCCCAGTTTAATTTACGCTGTTGCCACACAATATTCTTTAAATTATTTCGTAGGCCTACCACTACCTGATATCGATAAACTCTGTAAAACAAACAGTAGGTTGAGTACTCTTGAGTAAACACAACAATCATAAAATGAATAAGGGAAATTTTGACTAAATGGTTTGGGTTTTGCCAAGAGTTTTCTCGGTCTAATCGCAGTGACATCACATTGGGGAATCCCAACACTGGACTTACGTTGAATAAATCGGTTACCGAATAAATCTATTCTTTGATTTGAAGGACCCCGAACGATGTGTTTATAAATAACATTCCTGTTCTTTACTGAGCATTACTCGCGTCATAAACCATGCGGTTAATATGAAGTATATAAATAATAATATTGAAATGAAATTTTAACTTAGACGTTTCAAGATAAAGAAATATTTTAAAAAAATGAAAACCAAACTAAAAGATTTGTGGAATACACTTTTCCACACTTTATTAAAGGTACCATGGAAAGTAAAATCCAAAAGATGTCTGAAAATTCAAAATCTATTTTTCCTATGACACCAATGACACCATCAATAGCCTCGTTTTGTAATATTATTTAACCACGCTGTGAAATATTGATTTTTAAAACCCTTCAATCAAAAGCATTCCATCGGTATACACAAACCATTTTTGCCAGTAAAACAAAATGGCTCATAAATCGGATAGCAAACATAAAAAATAATTGTGTGTACCAATTGAAAGCTTGGTCTAAGCTTTTTATGATTTTTCAATAATACCAAGTTCGATGATATGTAACGAGGAAATAAACAGTAATTTTATGTCAAGAAAAAAAAATCTTCCTGCTTACTTATTTTTAGTATAAGAAATTCAAATCCCTGGATATGAATGTATCTTTTATATTACAATTATTGAATTCTTTAGATTTTGCTTAAGTCGGCATCTCAGAATTAATTAGTAAAGTAAATTTTATATCTTTTCCTCACAAGTTTTTTGACTAATAAAAAATGAGCTCCGGCTAAACTAAAAAAATCTACATTGATATAACAAATAAGGGATTGGAAAACCCCTCATGATCATATCCAAAACGGAAGGATAGAGACCCATTTTCAACAAGATGGTGGTGGCCTTGTTAATTCGTGATCCAGAGCTTGGAAATTTGTCAATACTCCTATAGCTTAGGCCTATAATACATATATAATTTAAATTAGGCTAAGACTGTACTTATACTATTATATCAGCTGCTAATTAATCTATTTAGCCTGAAACAAAACATGAAAAAGATAGAGTCAAATAGTAACATGGTTAATCTTTTGTTTTTTGTAAAGAGGATTTATCCAAGTCAAAAGATTATCTTGAAGTTCAATATTTTACTGAGATACTACTACTGTTCTAATTTATATTTCTGCATTATCGCTAATATTAATGCATATAAGTCCTAACTTAAAAGAAAGTGGGCAGCAATACTTGAAGCTTATTTTTTACAAAGACGCAAGTTGGTTTGAAAATAGTGAATGGGATTGCATTAGTAATCACTAAATTAACTTAGAGGCAGTCAACTTTCTATGCTACAATATACTATAGGACAGTGGTTCTTAACCTTTTTGGAGGTACTGAACCCCACCAGTTTCATATGGGCATTCACCGAACCCTTCTTAATAGGAAAAATAAAACATGATTTATTTATTTTTGGATCTCCGCCGAACCCCTGAGACTGACTCACCAAACCCCTGGGGTTCGATCAAACCTAGGTTAAGAACCACTGCTATAGGATATATACCAACACAAAGACAGTTAAAAAGGGGTGTACTGAAATGCCCAGGGCCTCAAGTTTGATCATTAACTTTAATCATTTCTAAAACAAAATGTGTCCTTCTTTGAAAGAAAATGAGATCGCTTAATAAAACATCATTTACAATTTTAAATCTTAAAATACATATTTTTTCCTTTAGGCCCAACAGAGGTAGACCTGGTATGCGAGGAGGTATGAGAGGACCAGTCAGGCCCTTTGGGGGGCCCCCAGGGCCGTAAGTTTTTTCTGCTTTTGTTTATATCAATTTCCATATTTTTATACTTTATACCATTTTGTTTTTATTGAATATAAATATAGCAAATATTTTCCAAGTTCAATTTCATACTGCATTTAATATATTTAATGTAGTGGCAGAAGGTAAATTTACACATTCAAAGTAATAGTGTATTCTAAGTTCAACATATTTTTTATATTAATTTTTTTTTAAAATTTAGCTATGAAAATAAATGGTTTTTAGGTAAGTAAGTATTTATACTTCTCTAACACTGTGCTTTTTATTTTTAAGATATAGACCATTCATCCCCCATATTCCATTTGACCTTGTCCAGGCAAGTAACGTTCAAGAGAACATTTTTTTTTCAATAATTAAAATATTTCTTAGTGATCCATTTTTCTATAACTAGAATGTTTCATGTGTTTCTGTGTGCCATGAGTGATGAAGAGGTATGAACCTGTAGATTTTTGTCTTAATTTTTATAATAGGACCCTTTGTACAATTTCTGATTGAAATTAATAATAATTTTTTTTATCTTGTAGTGTGAGAATGCATTTCCTCGAGCCAAACCAGCTCCTGATGAGAAGGCACTTACTGATGTGAGAAGATCTATTAATAGTTTCAAGCTTTTTTTAAAATAATTTTTGTTTTTTTACATTTGACATTAAATTAAAAAGTGATGTATTTGTGTCTTCTGGTGAAAAGTTCTCCCATGTAGAAAGTTTCTAATTTTTTGTTTCCTTATAAAAAGCGATTGTTCCTTAAAGCAAGATTTATGTTAAAGTGACCACCCTTTCAGTAACAAAATTCGTTGTTTTTTTTGGTCGTACCATATTTAGTTTTAATTTATAGTTGTTAATTATAACAAAATATTCAAAGCTAGTGTTACATGAAAGGGTTGGACACCTTAGCACCAATTAAATTAAAGCTGGTTATGACTACCACATTTTAAAATAAAAGAGGATGTCCAATTATTATCAGGCTTTGCTAAAGCGACACACGGACCTGACACCGTCCTCTGCAGAGCAAGCGTCCATCCTAGCTCTGGTCACCAAAGTTCAGGGAATTCTTGATAACCTTGTCATCGCTCCAACAGGCTTTGAAGCAGCGGTATGTGATTCTAGTTATTTTACAACTTTAAAAGGTTTTTAATATGATTCATTAGTCACTGGTTCACACATAGCTTTGCTATAATAGTATTTTTATTTCTGTTACTAAAGACTTTAGAAGAGGTGCGTCAAGTTGGTTCATTTAAGAAAGGCACAATGATGGCCGGCCATAATGTTGCAGATATTGTTGTGATGTTTAAAACTTTACCTACAAGTAAGTCAATTAATTCATCCTTTCATCTATTAGTTGAGCACATTAACAAATAAGAACTAGTTTACATCTATAGCTAGTGTAATGAAAGAAATAACTCAAGCAATGCTTTGTTCTTCTGGATTCAGGATGTGGAAAAGGATTAAGTAAAATTCACATGATTCTATTGTCTTTTTTTTCATTTTCAGAAGAAGCGGTTACTGCTCTAGCAAACAAAGTCTCAGAAGAGTTAAAATCTCAAGAACCCCAAGAAGGTGCTTATAAACTGTTATAGAAAACTTTTGACTCTATTTAATAATTCACCTTGGTATTTAAATATGAAAACATCTATAAGTAAGTCTTCCTTACCATTAGTTTTCACGTTATTGAAATTCCAAATTTGAAAGTCATTTCACTGCATTTGATTAATGTGCTGCCTTAAGGTTGTTTGTTAACTTCATTTTTTCAGAAGCTGTTCCTCCTCGAAAGAGGGTAGCCCAAAATTTACCTAAAACAGGTGCAGTTTAAATGTAAAGATAAATATAGCTTGATTATAAGTCTGCTCTCATTATTATAAAGTAAATAATACTTCAATATACATCATAATTACTTACTTTTTTTTATCTTTGAGTTATTTTACATGTTAATTTTACTATTACTAAAAATAATTGTTATTTTCTTTGAAGAACAATCAAAATTCCTATGCCACCAGAAAATGTTTCTATTTTGTTTTGTAACAAAAGATTAATCTAAATCATATCCACTTTCAGTTGTTAACATGTTGCCAAACGAGTCTGGTTTTGAAGTAAACCTTGGCGATACGTCAGTGCAATGCCTCATCACAACAATTCCTCCCAATTTGAAAAAACTGGATCCAGAGTTACACTGTAAGTAGCTTTTTCCATAATTATTAGTGAAATCTATAGTTTTTGTTTTTAAAAAAACTTTAAATGTAATTCACAAATATATATAAATGGTTAAATATATATTTTATCGTCGCAGTGGATGGTAAATTAATGAACAGTCGTTTAGCTGCAATTCGTCATGCTCGTTGGTTTGAGGAAAATGGTCAGCACTCAAGTGTCAAAGTTCTTATACGTCTGCTCAGAGATCTGAAAAACAGATTTGAAGGAATGTCACCACTCACCCCGTGGATTATAGATCTACTTGTAAGCAAATTTTTAAAATATCATTTTGAAATGTAGAAATTTCAATAGTTTTCAAATTAAACATATTTAATAAGTTCAATTAGCTATACAATCTTGCAAAAATGTTGCTCCTATAGAAACTCAAATCATGCCTCATCAGCTAACAAATTAATCAATCAATACTCCAAATGGTTGGATTAAAAAAAAAAGTCTTTTTTTTACTACTGTCAACTTGAGATGATTTGTTTTTTTGTTTTTTTTACCCAATGAAGATGATAAAACATGAAATTAACATTGTCTGCTTTCAGGCCCATTTTGCCGTGGTCAATAATCCATCACGACAACCTTTGCCCATTAATCATGCGTTTAAGTAAGTATGACAATAATTTATATTTTAAGATTTGGAAAGCAAAATTATAAAAAATATCATCATTTGTTGATGCCTGATAGTGTTATTTTAATTAAGAAGATATTTTTAAAATTATATTCAATTTCAGTGAAATTTTATAATATAATATTTTTTTTTTTCTAAATTAGAATTTATTTATATTATACTTTTTTTTATCATCTTTACTTAATATAGACGAGCTCTTCAGATGCTGGCTGCTGGATTTTTTCTACCAGGATCTGTTGGCATTACTGACCCATGTGAGCAGGGAACTATCAGAGTGCACACAGTCATGACCCTGGAACAGCAGGTCAGTTTGTAATGCAACACATTGTTTTCTCTTTTATTAGCAAAATAAACTTACATATTTTAAATTATAATTATAATTAATTTTTTTAAAGTAGGAATCTCAAACCAACTGAAGAATACTAGGAGAATTTTGATTCCCATGGGGGCATTAACACAGTCCTACTATATACATTGGAGTTGTCTTGTGACACTCGTCTTTTTGCCAGTTGCAGATGAAATTCCAGGGCTCCATGATGCTTGCAGTTTGAGGCCCTTCTTAATTAAGACAAACTGTTTATGGTTGCAATGTCAAGAATAAAAAAGAGATTTTTATAAATAAACTAGGAAAGGGACTAAAGATTCTAATTTTGTTCTTCTATATATATTAGATAATAATATACTTCTTAGAGCAGTTTTGAAAAGCTTCATGGCCTTTCAATGTTCCACAGATTTAGTCACTGAAACTTAAATCTATTGATTAATTTATTAATGTGTTGCTGACTACATGGTTACATAAAATTGCAGTTTTTCTGTTTTGTTTAAAATGAAAGTGAAACTGAAGTTTTCTTTGTTACTGTTGCGTATTCATTGTTTCAGTTTCATTTCTTGGAAAAATGTACATCATTATGTAAGACATGATTCCACCTCTTGTGACCTATCATGATGAATATTTCATTTAACCCCTTTTTTACTCTTTAAATTATCTTTTCTTTTTTAACTTGATGCACTTGAGGAACTTTGTTGCTAGCATCAGGTATAGAACTTATATTTGGTTGGAATTCAAAAAGATTTTGACTAAGTGAAAAATCAATGTTAGTATTTTTAGTGTTATTTTTTTAAATTCAGCTAAAAAATAAATTTGCAAATCGCTTTTATCACACTTTTTTTTGTTGAAGACTAAATTTTTAGCTTGAAAACACTTCTTCCATAGGACCAAGTTTGCTTCACATCTCAGACTTTGCTGCGAGTTCTGAGTCATGGGGGATACAAGCAAATCCTGGGCATGGAAGGAAATGCTAGTGAGTTTTTTTTGTTTTTTTTTTCAAACCCTTTTAATTTAATGATAGCTTTATTATATAATGATAATATAATAGTACCTGTCTAAAAGACATATGATTAAAAAGTCCCATCTGAAGGAATAAAAGAAATGCTACTGTATGGGGATCTACATATAATTATTTGGAGGAGAAAAAGAAGAAAATTGTTGACATTTAACTTTGCACATCCAGGTTTGAGTGTCTTTTGAAATTCTAAACATATTACTAATTAAATTTAAGCATAGTTACATGTTACAAGTTAATCAAAGACACAGGTTTAACCGGGGTGGTATTAATGTTATTTTACTCTCCGACATTAAGAGAATAATGGCTAACGAACATGATATTTGTATAAATTATATTTTTCTCATTGAAGTGGAAGTAGATTTAAATGAAGAAGTTATTGAATTTCAGGTATCGCCACAGAAATGAGTGTTTGGGAAGGCGTTGTGGTCTCTCCATCAGAGAAAGTTTATGAGAAGCCCTCAGAAAAGAAAGAAGAGCAAGATGAGGAAATGGATGATGATATGGATGGAGAGAGTACATAAAGAATTATGTATAGTTATCTTGAAAGAAATAATATATATTTATGAAAATGTCTTAGCATCTAAGCATAACTCACAATAATAATACATGTGAAAAGTCATACTCACTCATTTTTTAAAAGCTTCAAAGTATTGTACAGATTTAAGTACAAATTTGAACATCGTTAAATAACTTCCGTACCAATTGCAATCACCAGTAAAAAGTGGTTCATTTCTTTAATTTTTAGATGACACATTTTCAAATAATTTCTATTAGAAATAATTTGATTGGATTTAATTGTATAAATGCATGTTAATAAATTAATAGTATTGTTATGTATGTTTATTTTTTTATTTAAACATTGTTTTATTGATGTTTTTGAAAACATTGTTTTAAAGAGCTGTTGTAATTTGATAGAAAATAAAACCAAATCTGCTCATCTTGATGTTGATGATAATTTTGTATTTGTTCATGTCCTTAACAGGAATTTGATATAAGTTATTTATGAATGCGTTGAAACTTCAAATACTTTCTTGTTTTTCAACAATTAGAAGCCTAAAAATGCAAGATAAATAAAATACTATATTAAGAAAACATAGATACATTTAGATTCCCTGGTTAAGTTTATTTCATTTAAATCATTAAAAACATCATTTTATTCCTACTGCCATCTTTAACCTTTCTTGGACATCAGATCCTTAAGCTGTCTCACTGAGAGTCAATCATTTTGAAGACAATGATTGTAAGTTTCTTTTTAAGTATTTAATTCCCTTATGTAATAAATAGAAATGTTTCTTGCTCATTTGTTTTTATTTTAATACTAATACATTTCTAACTGTTCTTGGGCACAGAACACGGGTCCTGTCATGGATCCCATATCTAGAAAGAAGGTTGTAGGACTTTATTTGTACTTTAAATTGCAAAAGCAGCAGCAACTATGGCTAAATTGAATAAGCGGGTGTGGCATAATCTTTAACTGATAATACAAAACTGAGCGTCTATCGGGCATGTGTGCTTAGTAGACAAAGATGTCACATTTTACGCATTTGATGGCAGGACAAGGTGCCTAGCCTAATGCTGATGTCTTGGTACATGCAAAAATGTGTAGCATATTCTCCGCTCTTTCTTAGTAAGAGGCACCTTCGCTGGTTAGGACATGTAAGGAGAATGGAGGAAGGCTGTATTCCAAAGAATCTGCTGTATGGAGAGTTAGCAGAAGGGACAAGACTTATTACGGCCATGGCTGCGATTTATAAAAAAGAGTCACTTCTATTCCTTCAAGGAAGAAGTCTATACCTCTTAGACCTATGTGTTGCCACGCCGGCCACTGATCTAGTCTGAGTCAGGAGTAAAGGTTGATGTTGTGTTTTGTTAATCAGGTAAGCATAATTCCGTCTTGGATGCTCACAAGAAAATGGATGATATCTCTTGATGTAACTAAAGACACTTTAAAATATTATTTAAGGACACTATAAAATACTAAAATACAAATATAAGGGCACATTAATTCACAGACACAGTTAAATACTTAAAACATTTGAAGACTGTACACCTGATATATCTACTATATACCTTGCAATAATTAAAATATCTTGCCATGTTCATAAAAAAATTTTGTTAAATTATATTACATTTATTTCATATGAAGTACCGGTATTTAAATATTTTTTTTTTGATGGTGATGCATTTTCATTATATTTAAAGTTTTTACAATTTACTGGTAACATTTTTAAAGTAATGAAATAAAAACTCTGTTTAAAATTAATTTAATTTCAAAATGAAATCTTAAGTTTTTAAGTGAACATGCTACTACTACCTACGGGTGCTACATTTAAAATTCAAAAGTTTAAAACTGAATTGTAATAATTTTATTTTAAAAAATCTAACCACAAACTACCCAATAGCAATAAATGTGAACAATGTTCACTTCAATTTTGTTACCCCACCCATCATTTTCTCCCCCCCCCCCCCCCCATACAACAAAGACACAGGCTGGGCACCCTTATTTCCCAGCATGTTGAATGTTAAGGTGTTTCAAATCCAAAGTAAAAAAAAATATAATCATAGTCAATTTTACAATTTTATTTGTTGTACTTGTTATTTTAGAATTCTCGCTCCCCCCTCCCCCCAGAGTCAAAAGCTGGTTTTCGCCACTGGTGAAACGCCAAAGATTTTTTAGTCCCCCCTCCCAAAAAAAACAAAAAAACAGCAATTTTGAAAAAAATGCCACCCCTCCAAATATACAGAAAGCTCCGACTGATCCTTAAGCCCCCCCCCCCCTTTCTTTTTTCCATTCAGCAATAATCATACGCCGATGTTTTGTAGCCTTTTCATAATGGGGGGGGGGGGGGGGGGTTTGTGACTACAAGGGTCTGATGATTCAGAGCCGTTACTTGACTTGAATGATTCGAAGGGAGGATATTGTGGTATGGTGGCAATGGGGAGATTGTTCCACTCAAAGATTGTACAAGAGAAGAATGAATGGAACAGGGCACGTTAGAACTCTTGCTATTCATGATTTCTTGTTCCTTCATTATTTGATCAAGATTTTGAACCCCAAATAATCTAAGAGAAGCTACTCAAATTATGTTTTATTGTAGGTGATGGGACCTACCTTAATTTGTTCCGGAAGTGATGTCAATTTAACAACAAGCTTTTTGTTTATATTATTTTCTTTGAAAGAAAGGTGTTAAAACACTCTTTGAGGTACCGTACTTGAGCCTGTCTTTACTCTCTGTGTGTATGTATGTTTTCAAGTGTATGTATTGGTACTAACAATGTTATAGCTTTGTTTGTGAGATTAATTAATGTTATAGAAATGTGATCAAAGTCAAAGATACGTGGTCAGGACTCTGCTGGAGGATAACTGCACTGAACTGCACTTCAATAATATAGACTTGAATAACTGGATGCTAAAATTTTTAAAACGTTTTGAGGCTCGCTGTTTATTACTAATATTTAGTTTAGGTACTTATTATGACTTAGTTTTATTAATTATTTATATTATTCGGAGCCTAATAATAATTTTACCTGGTTCTATCATGTAATTCTTATTATTAAAATTAAATTAAAAATAGGTGAGAGTGTGAGTGAGATAATTTTAATTAATATTCACGGTTTCACGCATCGACATGGTCTCTACTTTAACTGAGGACTGAACTGAAACCGATGAAGGTACCCCCACACCAAATCAAGGTTGACAATCTGTAGCATGTCTGAGTTTTTGTCTTATAGGCCTAATTTATAATACAACTGAATTACTACTATAAATTATTAATCATTTTGATTACAAAATAAATGGCCATATTTTTACTTCTCTCTCTTTTTATTATTTGATTATTAAATTTTTTTTATTAAAGCCAGAGACTAATTACAAATTCACTAAATAAATAAAAGACTTGTGGTATACAATCGAGCTTACACACACATATACTCACTAGAATCTCCACATCTCATCCATATAACCTGCAGGGAATATACCATTAATCATATTATTATAAATAATATAATACCTATATCATTAATCATATTATTATAAATAATGTAATACCATATTATATTTATTGAAAACTAAATACGTTTGAAAAAATTTCCAGAAACTGCCATGGGGTCTGATCAAAGCTCATTACCTGCAGGAGCACCAGGCAGTAATTTGCGGTCTCAAAGAGATGAGGAAATTCCTTATACTCAATACTCGATCAGTAAACCAATAGATTCACGTAAGTGTTATAAGGTCATAAGTTTGGATATGTATTTTATTTAAGTCTGCATATCATGTTGTTGGTAAATGTTAGTTCAGCACACCACTCATATCCCAAAGCCTCCATCTTGGTTGCCATGACAGCAGGTGTGTAAAAAAATAAATTAAAATAAAACGTAGTGCAAACACAGGTCTGCTAAAGTGGGGAGAGGAAAGAGAGAGAATGTGCTGTTTTACATACTTGCAGAGAGAAACGAAAATAGGAATGAAGCATTAAAGTTTAATGAAATAATTTTTTGAGAAATACCTTCAATCATAAACTCTGCTACTCTACCAAACCCAAGTATTAAGTCAATAAGATAAGATAATATTCTTTTATTGATCCAAACAAATGGAAATGTTTTATTGCTTACTCAAGCGTAAATTCCACCATAAATTTTGCCCCCCCTTATGTAGCAACTTTATTGTATCCCTCTAGACGTGCTGCAAGAAGTGTCAAGTTACATACGTTAGTGCGAAAAGTTTAAAAATGAAGTAAAACAATACAAAATTATTTTTAAATTATAAAAACCCAACTTACAGTTTCATAGAATACACATTTACACACTTTTTATTGCAGATTGCACCAGTAATAAAATTCAAAAGTTAGAAAAATCAATACCCATTCAAAGATGTTGAAAAAATTGAGCCTTGGTTTAAATCTCATTTTAAATATTATAATAAACCATCGAATGAAATATTACATCGGCGTATTAATATTAAAAAAAGAAAAGTTAACTCTTGTAACAATTTAAGAGTAAACAATGGGGAAAGAATTCTAGAAAGAAACTCAAAGTTGTGGGCCGAATTAACATAAGCCCCTACTGTTATATAATTTTCTAGGCTTGTAAAAGTAAACTGTTTGATCAAAATAAATTCTAAATACAGGCTTTCTTGTATCATCAAAATTTTATATTGTGTTTGCTTTTTAAACCAGATTCGCCCAGACAATCCCCTCGACCCCACAAGACACACAAGCCTGTTGTTAAACAAGAAAAAGATGGCACCCCTAAGCATGAAATTGTTGTAGTCGCAGATGGGCTCATACCAATCAAAGACCCTGACCCTGAGCTGACCAAATTAAACACAATTCCAGTATTTTTCCCAATTTTGAGAGGCTCCCTAAATATTCCGGTGGGCAGTAAAGAGGTTGATGTTCTGGACAAATTAGACCACAAACAGGTTAGTCTGCTTAAAAGAATAAAACTAGTTTTAAAAACAATGACTGAGTCATAGATTTATTTGTAATTTCTACTGTAAAGTAATTAAAGCTGTGTTCCACTAAATTTGGAAATTTATATAATTACAAAAATTCAGCAAGGCCTAACTAAGCCTGTGACCATTTAATAAAATTTATATCAAATTCAGAAAATATTTTAATAATATTGTAAAATTTCATAAAAATATCATGTTTTTGGATCAAGTCAATAGTTATATCACTGAATATCAGTTATTATGTAGAAAAAAAATTATTATTTGAAATGAAATTTTGCCAAAATTTGGATTTTAAATTGACTAAAAACACTATGCATCTGCTATAAATCTGGAAATTTCTGTTTATTTCTTTTAATTAAAATTTTACTCTAATAAAGTATTCTATAGCTTTATGGAGTTGAATCCTATTGTATTTTCAGTTATTACTTCTGTGCTTGCGATACCAGGACCATCTACGTCAGCTTGCTGAAGCTGTAGCTTTTGATCAGAATGCACTTTGTATAAGAATTAAAGAGGTGATCTTACATACTCTTCTCATTTTTTAATTCCATTTTTTACCCCTTTTAATCAAAGCAATTTTGGGATGCTATCAATCCTATTTACTTTTTTGAATTCATGGCAATATTTTTGTGCCGAACATTGCCTAAAACCTGCTGCTCTTTACACTTTACGTGTCTGGCACAAATTGGTTAGTAGGTGAATTGTTTCATAATCTAGGTATTAATACCTTAAATCACCTGATTTCAGGTTCATCACTGTTAACATTCAAAATAAAAAAAAAACAAATTATATTTAATTGTTTATAGGCAAACTTTTATTAATACCTGTCCATATTGTTTATTTTCTTAAACTAAGAATTAGCTAAAAAAAAAAGACACCAAGTATTTATCATTATTGAACACTAAATTTTAATATTTTTTCTTGTTTTTTCCAGATGGACCACACAATTCATGTCCTGATGAACACACTGGTAGAGAGACAGAAAAGGTACAGTAAATATGTTGAACAGTTTGGAAGGGTTTCAGAAACATTGACAACCTTGAAAAAAATTCAAAAGTCTATGGAAGATATCGTACCAAAAATGGATATTCTCAACAGGTTGCTGCCCACGTCAGAGCAGTTGGAGCCATTTTCATCAAAAACAGAAAGAACCATACAAAAATCATAAACTATTGACATTAATTGTGATTTTAATTATTTTTATTTATTTGACATTTCTTGAATGTGATATCCCTTTATTCTATTGTATATTAGTTTAACTAGTCCTTCATTTAATGAAAATATTTGTATGAAAAATAAATTGATAATAATTAGAGTTAGAATTTGTTTGCCAAAATTGACAGTGTAGAAAAATATATAATAAACAAGATATAGATGTGTAGATTTAAGCCCAAAGCACTAATGCAATTGTTGCTGTGGTTATCAAAAAAATAAAATTGTCATGTTCATCATCTGGCCCAAACGTGTTGTCCATGGTGGTGATTAGATGATAATTAAATGAAAACTGCATGCAAGCTGTGTGAAGGAAATAGTAGAACAAGGTATGAGGAAGCTTGAAATAGAAAGACAGGACAATAAAAGAAGAATGTTTTGGCTAAGAGCCTTCCTAAGATTAGAGGATTCCGTGCAATGAAAAGTAGGAAAATGGTTTGTCATCATTAAAACTTCTTTTTGAACATAACAATTTAAGCAAAAAAAAAGCTCTTGTTTGTATTAGTAGTTATTTGCTTTGGTCATTAAATGCACAAAAACATTGCAAATCCCCTCTACATACATAGGAGCCAAAATGATCAATACATTGATCGTTGGCCCTTACTATATAGAAAAAGATGAAATGCAGCATTACTAGAAAGCGATGGAAACTTGTGTTTCATATACCTGTTATAATAAAGTAGCACTGAATGTTTGAGAGATCTGTAAGCATAAAAATAAATATTTAGTTTACATCACCTACGTCTAGACTTGAACAATGATCAGATGAATGAAGTTCCTCTTATTAATTCATATCAGTGTCAACACTCCGAGTTATGTGCTAGAAATTGTAAAGCTTATTTTGCTTTGCATATAAAGCTTTCAATTCATCATCACAGTTTGCTTTTCATATAAAAAAAAAATATTGTACCTTTTTTAAATTTAATCATGAAATGGACTGCATCAGCATAATCCATAGTACGATACAATCATCAAAATGTAAATATTTTTTAATGTTATTCTTTTGTTACGTACTTTGGTAATTTTTTATTTAGCATTTAACATTAAATTGTATAGATATCATAAGTTGATTTCTGTCGCATGTTTACTGCTCATGTTTGAGATTGATGAATTTAATTTGGTTACAATTAACCAGGTTTTACTTCTGCTATCAAGTTATTTGATGTTTTCAATTGAAAGGGTTGCTGTTAATTGTACTAATCATTATCAAGAATTACATTAGTTTCACATTGCTCAAAATAAACAATATTTCCATGAAAAAAAACACCATATTGTACTTGTACCCTGCTTTTTTTAGATTTTCTTACATTGTAAAAATTGAACTGTTTAAAAATCAACAATCTAGTGCACATAACAATATGGAGAATACAACTTAGGCATTATTGCATTGAAGGATGTGTCTGTTTGTTTTAATGGGCCAAAAGGAATCATTTAAAATGATTTGATCAAACCTAATATTATAATTGTGTTGTTAAAGACATTAGCTTGATGTTCATTACATTTCCATGCTATTCTTAGTTTATACCACACAAACAGTGGAAATAGTTTTTCTCTTTAGTTGTTGTAGCTTTATGGAGATATCTGGGACCATTCATATATTATTTGAACATATTAACACACATTGACCAATATTAACAATACACTCACCACATACAACACATTTACTACAATTATACTAGGCATGAATGCAACAAATTTCATTTCATTGGTCAAACACAAGCATGGGACATTTGCTTGAAGTCTAAATTAGCATTTTTATGACCTTGTTTTTCAATACCATAAGTTTGGTATTCTGTATATATTAAATAAACCTTGACACTACGTGTAAGAGGAGACAGTTTGTGTCTTTCAAAGTACTTAAGCTTTATCTTGGTTAAAACTTCGTTTAATTTTCTATTGGGACAGTTGTGTACCAATTTTTCTTTCAGCAGTTGCAAACTAGGACTAAAAAATAATTGTGTGCGTAAGCCAGATGAGAGTTTCATTTCCACTGGTGTTGGAATGTAAACATTTGACCCCAAAAAAACCAAGAGTATGTTGGGCAAGACAACAAAAATTTCCATGCATTTATGTTGTGTAATTAAATTTGAGCTTTGTTTTTATTTTTGTCCCATTTCTGTTGACTAATAAAACAGAATAATCCTTAAAATGTCTGGAGTGATGTGCTTTGCTGCTGCTAATCAGATAAAATAGACACAAAACTGACCAGTCGGCCAGAGTTACACTTCCCCTTTTGGGGGACTGAACTGGAATAAAAAATTTAGAACATAAATATTTATGTAATTTTTTTATTAACATTTTTATTTTTTAGATATAGAGAACCATTTATATACACATTTACCAGGAATGTTTAATATATATTGTCATATAGGTCGACCAACACATCCTCAAATATTAAAAATTAAAAAATGATAAAAAAATAGGAGATTTTAAATGCAAAGGTAACACTGAAAGGTCTGGCGCATTAATAATATAATTATTCAAGCCAACTAAACAATACGTTTGTTGTACTGCAATAAGAGCTGCCATAAAAATGTAGCCTTCCCATTTGTTAACTCAATAATTTGAACATGGTGCTTATCACAATTATTGGAACATGGTGCTCTTGAAAAAACAAACAATTTTTCCTAATGTGGAATGCAAAACAAGTTTACAGCTGTTGATATTTTCATACTCTTCTTCCTTTCTAGGTGGGACATCAAGTTCTTTTAGCTTTTATTTTGGCCACAGTTACCCTGAGATTCCCAAGGTTTCTATACAGTTTCTTTTTTATAAGCATTGTATTTTTTTGGGACCAGAAGCTCCATCGTTCTCTAGCATTTGTTGCACATCCTGTGTCTAAATACCCTTTTTTTGTGGTTTTATGAAAGACCTTGTGTCCAGAGCAAAGTCAGAATATCAACCTTATTTTGAGGTGATAGTATGCACATTTCATTTTGCATGTTCATTTTCTACTTTTCATCAATTTTCAATGTTAAGGTAAACTTCACACCTCTTTCTTTGCGATTCCATTGCTTTATTTGTTTCACTTATTTTTACAACATGCTGTGAAAAAAAAAATCCATAACATTTATTAATATTCAATGAAATGAAGGCTTTTATTTTAGCAATTTTAAATCAGTATAAAGTAATTTATAAACTAAAAAAAATCCAGATGTATTAATATTTTTTTTTATAGGCAGCATAAATAGCTTTCAGGGTTATATGTTTTATAAACCATATACAAATATAGATGTAGAGTGTGATTACCTCAACAATATGCAAATCTGAACAGTTGTTTAAAAAAAACACATTTCCAAAGCTATTTAAATGACTCACAATATCTCAATGCACAAGTGCTCTTTCAAATGTGCTGTCTAACTGGCAAGACCAATTGAATTGTACGTTTGTACACTCTGTTTGTACACTCTCTCTCCTTCACTGTTACCTTTTTTTTTTTTTTTTCTTTTTGGTTTGAAAAATTATTTACTTGAACAAACTTACAAAAAAATAATTTAAAAAAACCAAACCTCACTCTTGAGTGTACATGTTTATATCTCACTGTAGTAAAACTCATTAATAGTTTTGAGTGCACCTGCAAACATCTCATTGCAACAAAACTCTTTTATAGCTTTGAAAGCCCTATTCAAAGTAATTTTTTATGTCATTGTCACGTAATAAAGAAATAAGCCATAAAAATGCTGGAGATGCAGAATAAGTAAAATTTAAACAAAAATTTTTTTTAAAAATCATAATAATGATAAAAAATATGTTCATATCCTTTTTGATGATTTCTAATAAATGTTTGAAACATTATAATGTAATCAGTTAGAATGTAAGTAATGATTGTAATGTCAAAAGCTTTGGTGACTTACCCTAGATCAGTTTTCCCCAAATGGTGGTCAGCGGGCCAGCACAGGTCTTCAAGCCTTATAATGCAGGTCCACACAAAATCAGTCAAGAATATGAGGAAAATGTTACAAGTTTGAGTCTTGTTTCGAAAGCAATTTAAAAAATTGAGATCATCTTTGTCATAAACATAAACAGGATTGTACGCATAAAGAGAAACCTGGGAAGCTAATGGTGATGTGCCAGATTAAAATTGTAAGAAATGTTAAACCTTTCAATTTAAAGACCACACCAAACAAGGCCAAACCAATTTAATAAACATATTTTGGCACGGGTCCCCGATGCAATGGGAAGCCTGTCCACTAGACTGTAAAACTTTAAAAGTTTGGGAAATGCAGCTCTAGATCAGGCATGGCAAACATGCGGCCCTTTTCAACCACACCTGCGGCACGCACAAATTTTCTATCACCTTTCAATCAATTTTGAAAAGCAAAAAAAAAAAAAAAAAAAAAAGTAAAATGCACAAATGCAACGGTAAGGGGATCAAGTTAACAAAGTTTGGGAAATGCAGCCCTAGAACAGGCATGGCAAAAATGCGGCCCTTTTCAACCACACCTGCGGCACGCAAAAATTTTCTATCACCTTTCAAACAATTTTGAAAAGCAAAAAAAAAAAAAAAAAAAAAATGTTAAATGCACAAATGCAACGGTAAGGTGATCAAGTTAACTTCTAAAAATTAGTTTATGTTCTGTTTAAGTGAATAATTAAAAATAGATAAATAACTATTTACAGAATTAAGTCGATATTTATTTTAAAATTAGGTGAAAAGACATGTGGCCTGGGATATGTGAACTTGCCTCGTGAAGCCTTTTGGGCTGGCCAGCCTTGCTCTAGATGACAGTGGACCATTAAGAAATGCCACCAAGAGCTTTATAAGGAAAAGAACTAAAAAATCTAACTTATGTCTTTTCTTTTCCAGATTGTAATGCTCACAACAGTCAAAAGCACAAATTAATCTAAAAATGCCATATTGTATTAAGGTTTAGAATGATTACAACCAGTGGCCATGTGTCACACATACAAGAATATGAAATGAAAGATTTTTGTACCAGTACCATTATATGTGGCAGAGAAAAGAGACCTCATAAACCCATATACAGACAATAATAGTACAATGATTAATAAGATTACTTTTTTTTTTATTAAGTTTATTATGTATATATAATATTTTTTAAAAATATACTGATAATTATATTTGGATGCGGCTATTAGGAATCAGGTCCGAGAAGTGAAAGTTTGGGTTTATTAAAAATATTTAAAAATTATTGTAGGGTTTGTAAGACAAAATTTTGTATCAAATTAAAGATAATTTAATGGGCTATATGTTTGTAAACTTACTTCTTAAATTAACTAAAATAAAATACCACAAATGACATCCGAATAGCATTTACTCAAAATGGAACCAGAAACGCATCACCACTATTTGGACCCGGTCTAAAGCTATTCGGATGTCATTTGTGGTAGTTTATTTCAGTTAAACTGAAGAATTAAGTTTACAAACATATAGTCCATTCAATTATCTTTCATTTGAAGAAGAGACTTGTAGGATGCAATTAGTCTGTGCAAGAAGAGACTTGTAGGATACAATCAGCCTGAGCAAGAAGAGACTTGTAGGATACCATTAGTCTGTGCAAGAAGAGACTTGTAGGATACAATCAGCCTGAGCAAGAAGAGACTTGTAGGATACAATCAGTCTGATCAAGAAGAGACTTGTAGGATGCAATCAGTCTGTGCAAGAAGTGACTTGTAGGAGGATACAGTCAGTCTGTGCAAGAAGAGACTTGTAGCATACAATCAGTCTGTGCAAGAAGAGACTTTTAGCATAAAATCAGTCTGTGCAAGAACAAACTTGTAGGTGGATACAGTCAGCCTGTGCAAGAAGAGACTTGTAGGATGCAATGATTTTCTTTTTTATTGGAACAATTTACAGAACTTGTGAATTTGCTACATAAGATGATCTGAGCTAGTACAGAATTGTCGATAAATCCTTAATAAATTTTCGGCAGTTGGAGTATTGGAGGAGAAGCTGATCCAAATATGATAGATAGCAGAAGCACACGTTTAATAAATGACATCAAGAGTTTGGTGGGCTCTTTTAACCTTTAGTTGTATTTAATAACAATTGTGGAAGAATAATGGCTCTATCATCCAATGATGTGCGCTATCAAACTATATATGAACAAAGCCCTTTTCAAAAACTGGAAGAAAGCGAAATGTCAGTGTGGCATTTATCTCCCCATGTACAAATTAATGATGTTTGACTTTGCCCCATGTCAAATCTAATTTACTATTATCTTAGATTGAAATGAACTAAATAAGAACTACTGGTAGTTCATTTGATGACTAAGTTAGATATTTTCCTCAGCCTTTAAACTTAACACTTGTCTTGTATTTAGAGGGTCAAGTTGCACAAGGAAATATTAATATTTTTGTTTGCTTGAATTTAATTAAAGCACTGGTTGAACAACAACGTCTTTGTTTAGATCCAATGAATAGATAAGCCTTTTAGAAACTGGGGATGTACTCATAGAGTCAGTTTAGATCAGGTGAATAGATAAGCCTTTAGAAACTGGGGATGTACTCATAGAGTCAGTTTAGATCAGGTGAATAGATAAGCCTTTAGAAACTGGGGATGTACTCATAGAGTCAGTTTAGATCAGTTGAATAGATAAGCCTTTAGAAACTGGGGATGTACTCATAGAGTCAGTTTAGATCAGGTGAATAGATAAGCCTTTAGAAACTGGGGATGTACTCATAGAGTCAGTTTAGATCCAATGAATAGATAAGCCTTTTAGAAACTGGGGATGTACTCATAGAGTCAGTTTAGATCCAATGAATAGATAAGCCTTTTAGAAACTGGGGATGTACTCATAGAGTCAGTTTAGATCCAATGAATAGATAAGCCTTTAGAAACTGGGGATGTACTCATAGAGTCAGTTGAGATCCAATGAATAGATAAGCCTTTTATAAACTGGGGATGTACTCATAGAGTCAGTTTAGATTAGGTGAATAGATAAGCCTTTAGAAACTGGGGATGTACTCATAGAGTCAGTTTAGATCCAATGAATAGATAAGCCTTTTATAAACTGGGGATGTACTCATAGAGTCAGTTTAGATCAAGTGAATAGATAAGCCTTTGGAAACTGGGGTTGCACTCATAGAGTCAGTTTAGATCAGGTGAATAGATAAGCCCTTAGAAACTGGGGATGTACTCATTAAGTCAGTTTAGATCCAATGAATAGATTAGCCTTTAG